AATTTCATCACTGGCTTTAATTCTCCTGGCCTCCCTATAACACAGTGGAAGGCAGCAGAGACTGCTGGAAGGATCTGTCAAACTGTAAAATGGTTACATCTTCAAACACGCAATTCCCTTAATGGTTGTAGACATGCGGTTGTGTTTTATATTTGATTAACTGGTGCTGGGTTCAGGCACCTTGACCCCCCCCCCCGGGCCCGCCTTTTCCACATTTGTAAGGAGCTCAGCCACAGCTAATAATATTTAGAGGGCTGAAGGCACCCTATACAATTTGCAAGGGCCGACTGACTGCCTTTCTACCCCACTAGGACATCACACAAGCGATAAACACCTGATGACACAATGTGCCACCATGTGGGTGAGGATCACCGTGGAGAGGTCCCAGAAACCGCGTTAAGCCTTTAGGCTATATTTGATTTGATTTGATTCAAGAACCGACATCACAGCACTTGGTGCATTCCCATAAGAGTTCCGTCCCCATCTTCAGCAGCCAGCGAAGAGTTCCGATACTAATGGTGCCAGTAGCGTTCTGATTAAACGTCCGTCTTTCCTTTCCTTTGAGCCTCCAGCATCTGCTTGAACCTCTCACTTCCTCCCCCCCCCCCCTTTTTTTTTTTTTGCATCAATCTCACCAGACTGTGGTGATCCATCTGCTCCTTCGAATTGTACACGCTCTCCCACAAGATACTAACCACGTCTGCCCTATCATGTATCAGTATTCCACCAAGTTATGCCGAGCCAGCCAGTCTGTCTGCCTGTTCATTTCCCAACACACCGACATAACCGGTGAAAAAATCGAGACAATACTCCTCACCAGTGTCCTCTGCAGCGAAGCATGCCACTCTTCACGAAGCATACCTGTTCTGATCTTCCTCAGCATGCTTTCTGAATCAGTTACAATCACGATGTGTGTGTGTAATAAAAAAAATGATAATAATAATACGCCATATTTATGACCAGACTATATTTCGGTCCATGGCAAGAGCCAGAGTAGGGCTTCAAAAAACGAAACATTTCATCCTAACAAGAACGGAAAGTATTTTCAAGGGGCGTAAGTGGTACCCATAACCACGTATAGACGTTCTCTTTTTAAGAAACATATTTTTGACATTCAGAAAATCATAATACGTATTACTGCGCACTTTAACAAGGCTCAAGTCACGCGTCCCTCCCCAAACACCCAGACAGTTGTACTGCTGCTGAGCCTCCAATGTTTTTTTTTTTTGTCTACTGGTGTTGACTTCATGTTATTCTGTTATCCGCATTTCCTGACTCTTAATTGTTTTGTTCATCGGTGACTGGGTCTCCCATTGGCTGGCCTGTAGACGACTTCGTCGGGACTCAGGACAATATCTGGGTCGGTCTCCTGTGATCGCAAGAGTTCTTTTTTAGAGCTACTTGGTGGCGAGCAATGTTAAGCCATTTTATGTTGCACATTGCCCGGCTCTCTAGCGAAGTTGGTTAAACCTGACTTTCGCGGCGGCCGGGTGACGAACTCCTTGTGGTCCGGGTTCACTCCCGGGGGTAGGCAGAAAAGCCACATTTCTCCCAGATTAACGGTACCTATAATGGAATCAAGGCCGAAGGGTTGCGATATCCATAGTACCGAGCCAAAGGGTTTACAACTCATGGTTTCTTGATACGTTAAAAAAAAAAAATGTTGCACATAAGCTAGTTATAATTATAACCCAAAACTCTGGTTGAATGTGGCGATTTTTTGTTGTTGCTGAGAAAAGCAACGGAACGAATTGTTTTGTTGTTGTTGCTGAGAAAAGCCACGGAACGAATTGTTTTGTTGTTGTTGCTGAGAAAAGCAACGGAACGAATTGTTTTGTTGTTGTTGCTGAGAAAAGCAACGGAACGAATTGTTTTGTTGAAGTTTAACCAAGCTGCTGTAACTCACGCTGCATATTTCCAATTTAGTCTTTCCTTTGGTCGATTAGTTTCAATCTTAGGGGCCGCGTTAGCACAGGCGACACGAGACTCGCTTTCAAATCCAGCTGCGACTCGCTGCAGCCCATGGTCGGTGTTTGAAACCGGGCTGTTCCCGGGATTCAACCAGCCTCTAGGAAATGGGTACCAGAGTTGACACTCTGGGGTAAATGGAGAAACGTCGCTTTAGCTACGGAGTTACGTGCGGACGGCGACACAGGCGGACAGTTTTTTTTTTAGCAGCTGTCCGTACTGGTGGCACAGCACTCATGGTTTATAATCGTGTGCAGTGACGCTGGTTCACATCTCCCGATTTTACCTTTACTTTTTTTTCTTAGTTTCAATCTGCCTTCAATATCAGACGAAAGTCAAATGTAAAAATTATAGTATATTTGCACCACATTCCGCGACGATACGCAGTATTACACATTTTTTCAAGATTTTGTTTTACAGTTTTACTGTAATAGACACTTTATGTCGAGTACCGTCATCATTTTTTAGGGGGGAAAAAAACCTGGATAGTTTTTGATTATATTGACAGACAAAGAATGAAATGGTTCGGTCATCTAGTGAGAATGCAGCCAGACCAAACTGCTTATGAGACTGTTTACAGCAGAACATCTGGGAGGAAGGCGAGATGAAGACCAAAAAACTATGAATAAACTGTGTAGCGGAAACCTGCAAAAAGATGAGCAAACCCATCACCCAAACCACCAGAGAAGCGCCAGACAAATACAGAAAACCACGACACTGAGCTACAACCTGGTTTCGGTGAGACGACAAAAGAAGTAGAAGTTTGTTTTATCTTTCTGCCACAGTATTTATCCATTCAACATTAATTAACCGTTTTATTTATCAAGGGCAACAATGAACTGTGACAGTCTCTCCATTGATGTCTACTAACCATGCTTTCAACTATTCACCTAACATCAATAACGCTTGTTGCATACTGCTGGTAGCTGTTTTAATATATTCTCCAGTAAGGGGCGCCAAAACTGAGAAACATGTGGGGGGGGGGCGCGCTCTATTTTGGAGGTGAGCATAAACTTATCTACGTGCGTAGTAGTAGTATAATAGTAATGTGCTTCAATGTCAAATATATATATATATATATATATATATATATATATATATATATATATATATATGTGTGTGTGTGTGTGTGTGTGTGTGTGTGTGTGTGTGTGAATAGAATATAGAATTTCTCTTTGATGTGTGTGCATTCATTAGTATGTTTCTTTTTTGTGTAATATATATATATATATATATATATATATATATATATATATATATATATTACACAAATAAGAAACATACAAATGAATACTTAAAAATATAATAATATATATTACACAAATATGAAACATACAAATGAATACTTAAAAAGAAAGCCTATACTTCATAGGAGGGGGAATATAACTAACTTATAAACTTTCCTGAAATGTTAGAGTGTATCGAGCCACCGCTCCCCTTTTTACCCATTTTCTGTTATCAGTTGGCCTAAACCACCATGTTTTGGCGCCACTGTTGTTTAGCAGTTTATAAAGTAATCAACAGGTATGCATTTATTTAACCAAGGACTGTACATGTAAACTGTTTTCGGAGGATACTTAACTGAAAACAGTTGATGTGTCGAATTAAAATTCATAGATTGTCTTTAACTAATAGCTTTTTGTCTTATCTTTAATTACTTCAACAAAGTGTTGTGATAAATCAAAGCATCTTCTGTGTGCTTTTTCTTTTCTTCTAAGGCGTTGCTGATGTCGGTCTAAGTTGAGTTAAGAACCGTCTTCTTCTTTCGTTCGTCTGAAATAAATTATTTATATCTGCATTGTTGTCTACGTCTACTTTACCGTCTTTTGTAATTCACTCAGTGACCCGTAAAGTTTGACTTGCACCGATGTTTCTCTTGGCCAAAAGTTTTGCCTTGATATGTTGTATTTGGGACAGTCTTGGAGGACATGATCTGTTGTCTCAGGTGCCAATCCACATGTGCACATGGTTGATTCACCAATTTTAAATTTTGTTTCAAGTTAAGAACCAATTATCACAGCACTTGAGACATTCCTATGTGCGGCCCTTCCCTAAAGGTGTTTATCCTGGTCTTTATTTCTGAAAGGTGCTTAGTCCCATCGTTTGCATGGGATTCATTTTGCACGGTTAGTATAATTAGGGGGAATAAATACTTTAATAATCACTGAAGCATGAACAAGTGCTCCATCATCATTATTAAGTGCCTTACTGACTGGCGTAGGCGATCATGCTTCTCCACAATTTGCGATTTGCAACAGCGTGTATCAGTTCGTGTGTTTACATCCTTCCATTATAACTCCTTACGCCCTTCTTAGGACGTTATTTTTTGTTATTTGAAGCCCCACTCTGGCTTTTGCCAGGGGCCGCAATATAGGCAGGTCATCATTATGGCCAAATGTCTGAGCGCGGTTTCTGGGACCTCTCCACGGTGATCCTCATCCGCATGGTGGCACTTTGTGTCATCGGGTGTTTATCGCTTGTGTGATGTCCTGGTGGGGTAAAAAGCCAATCCAAGCCAGCCAGCCATCCTTCCATGTCATGACAAAAGAATGTCAAGAATATTCTCAAGCTGTCTTCCTCTGTGCCTCTTTCCACAGATCTTTCCAGTGGTCACAACATGTTCCATTTTTTTGTCTTCTCCAAACATGACCAAATAGCATGACTGTCTCCTATTGTTGTTTGTGATGTTATCTTCGAGCACTCGCCTCTTTCAAAACATCTGGGTTGCTCTTCTTTGTTGTCCAAGGAATTTTAAGGATTCTTCTCTAAAACCACATCTCTGAGGTCACAAGTTATTGTTCGGCTTGTTTATTAATTAAGGGCTCTGTATCATATTGAGTATATACTTCATACACCAATATTTTGTAAGTGCTCTGTATCATATTCAATGTACTTTATACTCTAATATTTTGTTTCAGATTGTGTATTAAAATACAACAATAGATTAGAACTCAATAGCGAACCCCGAGAGTGGGGGGAAAAAAAATCCAAAAACAAAATCCACCCTGGCAAAGGAAGTGTCATCAAACAATATGGCTGCCGCCGAGTTGGAAAAGCTTGGATGGTATGTCTGCTTCTCTTTTCAGCTCTTCTCTTTAGAAAGCATTAATCATTACAATTATAGTTTAGCCAGAAAATAAGGCGCTGAATGTTAACAAGCAAAAATAATTAAGTGTATATTTTTTTTTTCACACATTTTTTAAGAATATGTTTTCCTCACCAATTAATAATATAACTCACTCACTCACATTTCACACTCGCAAACTAAACTACTGCAGTGAGTGATACTATTGAATGAACTGAGAGTTTTCAGTTTTAGCAATAGCTTTATCTTTAATTCCAGGTATATTTTTTTTAATTGAAAATTGACTGAATAATTTATTGCATTCTACCTTAACTCGTTTTTGGGCTATCCTCCGAATAACGGTCTCAAATTATCGAGGCCGAAAGTACTGAATGATGCTCACCAGCGGATCAAAAGGTTGTTTGTTAACCCTTTTAGCACGGGAAGTTTTTCAGAGGTCTAGCCAAAAACACGGAGCATTTTTTCAGTGAATTTGGTTATTACTTTATTTAATTTTTTTGACAGATTTCTGTTATTCTGACCCCCATGAAATAATATATCTATTTGAATGATATAGATTGAAGTTCATGATTTTCACAATATCGTTAAAATTAATTCATGTATATGCAGATTATCTCATTTGCATATCTAAAAATAGAAAATTCTGAAAATATGAATTTGAATTTTCAACTTCAATGCTTGAAATATAAAACTAAAAACTAAAATTTTTTTTTATTTGAAATCTTTTTATTGATCTTTGGCCTTTTTGCAAATGTTGTAAGCAATTCAATAGTCAAAAACAGGTATATATATATATGAAACAGCAATAATATCTTTAGGTGACATGTTAGGGACTTCCGGTTAAAATGGATGCTAGACAGCGGCGCCGTTCGGAACAGAGGCACATTTTTTGCTTCTGCCGGACGGTGGCCGATGCATTTTCGCTCCATTTGTAGACTGGATATAGTTTCGTCGCCCAGCTTCTGAGTTGAATGCATGGCGTGACCCTGTGAGCTGCGGATTGCATTTGGAATGTTTTTTTTCGACTGTGACCAACGTGGTGGTGTGAATTGTAGGTTCAGCAAATGGCGCGATGCCTGTCGTTCAATGCTGGCGGGACCCGTATTAAAATTGATCACGCGGACAACTGCTGATCTGTTGACGACAAGTTCTGCTATCATCAATGATGAACTGCATTTCTAATGTTGGACTGTTTGTGTTAGCACTTCGGATGGCTACCATATGCTTTAATGCGAGTGTATGCTAGATATGCTGAGACAGCAGTCTGTCAATCTTTCCACAAGGGACTGTGATAGACATTCTGAGTGTTTTTCGCTGGCACAGGAGCGGAGCAAAGATGGGGCAACCCGTTTGCTATGAAGCTGAAACTAAGACTACCAGACTACCAGGTGACATGTGTTTTTCACTATCAGTCAGCACAAGAAATGGATGTGCCGGAGTGTCAACACCTGGTTGGGCTGTGGTCTGAACACAACAGCGTCCCCATCTGATTCCCACTATTACTACTAACACTAAATCCTGCATCAGTATCAACAGAATTAGTGTCATCACTTGATTCAAATGTTTTATCAACATCAAGTTTAGGGGCAGAAACATACGAGTCAGACATACTTTTAGCGGTTCAGGTCACTATCTAAAAAATTCAACAACAATTTTCACTTCGATACCAATCACTCGAAAGTCGCCATGTGTAAAGCTGATACAGCAGTTAATATAAATGAATCACTTTCAGTGTTTCAAAATAGGAGATTTCTTAGCGGTTCGAGGCAAAACACGATCGGGCCGATGATCGGCCGTTCCGTGTTTTTGGCCAGACATCCACCGGCTGATAATCGGCCAGTCCGTGCTAAGAGGGTTAAAGTGCTGTGAACGAAACAGACTTAAAAAAAAAAATTACCATTGCTCCCAGGTTGATCATTCTTAAATGAGCGCAACAAAAATTACCATTGCTCCCAGGTTGATCATTCTTAAATGAGCGCAGGTAAAGTCCTGGAAACTAAAGGCGACTGCTGTCATGTTGATCACAACACCCACCAACTGCTGATAATTCTATGAAATATATAGGTCTAGCCCTTTATGTCTAATGTGCCTAAAGGCATGGAAAAGGGTCATCTACTTAATTTTTTTTAACCGGTTATATTTTAAAAGCTGCTTTTTTTTTTTTGAAGAGAGACAGTTGGTGTGCTTTTAAAAAAAAACAAAATCAATGTATGACTTTCATAAGGATAATGGTATTACACAAATATGCTGGTAAATGTATAAAAATGATTCAGTTGTGAAAAATGATCACAACTGGCTCATAAAATAAAGGAATTTTCTGTGACATTTGGTGAGGCAAGCCAAGAAAGATTTGGTTCCAACTGTTATCTAGGACTGCAAGTACCGCAATTGGAGACAACTTTTTTTTTTAGTACTGCTGGGTCAGTAAAACAAGCTCACATTTTCTTTGGAATTGTTTCATTTCAGGCATTTAAGTGAAGAATTTATAAATGGATTTGGAAACAAAGTCAACGTTGATAGCATTATCAAGAAGGCTCTTGATGTAAGTAAAGGTTGTATGAAAGTTGTAATTCTCAGTTGTTTAAATTATAGCTTGAAATTATGAGTGCACATTCTGAAAATCAGCATATACATCAGGCATGTATCGCTAGACTTATTTTTTGATAGACCAATAAACACTGTATGGGTGATGCAGTAAGCTTCGCAACCAGTTTATCTAGTGTTAAAAAAGAAAAGAAAATTAGTTTTGTATCCTTTACAGGACATTGCAGAACAAACCCCAGTATTTTATTTTTTTTAGACAGGATGGGTTTGAAATCTCATCTGAGAGGAATAAGTTTCATATTTGTGCCAGGGCATTCTGGGGTAAGAGGAAATGAACAAGTGGATTGGCTTGCTGGTAGGATTACAGTAGATTCAGGACAAGCAGTGGACCTGTGTTCTCTGTGGTCTCAAGGAGTCATAGTGAACAGATGATTCAGGCCACGATGGGGGGAGTGGCAACATTAAAAAGACTACAAGAACTTCAAGTCAAAAGAGCTATTGCCAAACATGAACACCGCAAGGTAGCCAAAGAAGAACAGTAAACCAGTACAGAATTGATGTTATCAGTCACCACATGCTGAAGGATATACTGAAGAAGGAATCCAAGCTCTTGTGGACTTGTCCAGTATGCAATAAGGGTAATCAGTCAGTTAATAAGCTAACATTAACATCAAGTTTACATGTTTTCATTACTGGAAGATTTAATCACACATGATTTCATACAACATTTGTTTGTGTTTCTTGCAGACTGACTTTAGGGAGATTGGGAAAGCTTTCTTAAGTGAAGACATCAACAGAGGGAGATCAGACTATGTAAGTAGAAGAGAGATTATACTATGTAAGTAGAAGAGAAATTATACTATGTAAGTTGAAAAGAGATTAGACTATGTAAGAAGAAGACAGAGACTATGTAAGTAGAAGAGATTAGACTATGTAAGTAGAAGAGATTAGACTGTGTAAGTAGAAGAGAGATTAGACTGTAAGTAGAAGAGAGATTAGACTGTGTAAGTAGAAGAGAGATTAGACTGTAAGTAGAAGAGAGATTAGACTGTGTAAGTACAAGAGATTAGACTATGTAAGAAGAAGAGATTAGACTATGTAAGTAGAAGAGAGATATGACTATGTAGAAGAGAAATTAGACTGTGTAAGTAGAAGAGAGATTAGACTATGTAAGTTGAAGAGATTAGACTGTGTAAGTAGATTAGACTGTGTAAGTAGAAGAGATTAGACTATGTAATTAGAAGAGAGATTAGACTGTGTAAGTAGAAGAGAGATTAGACTGTAAGTGGAAGAGAGATTAGACTATGTAAGTAGAAGAGCGATAGAATTACCTATATTTGTAAATGTGTAAAAATGTAAAGATATAAAAAGAGAGTAATGAATAAACATGAATGCGGTGAAAAATTTGTATCAGGTGACTCAGCGAGGCTATGGGGAAAACTAAAAAAAAAAGCCATCTGATTCACAATAATTGCCCCTCAACCCCTGATGCTGTTTTAAGTAAATATATTCATATCCGGGCCTCCTAAACACTGCAAGTGGAAACAGAATCAGTGATATTAATCTAGGCGTCTTGGAAATAGGTCACTTCAGACATGATGGTTTGCAGACACTACACGGATGTGGCAGTGAGTAAAATGCCAGGTTTGTGGCCCATAGGCACATTAGGCATAAACAGCTATGGGTAGGGTCTCTAATGTTGGATAGTTCAAGGTAGAGGAACATAAATGACTTAACTCTTCTGCTTTGCAGGTAGAAGACAGCAAAAGACTGTGGGAAAGCATATCTTAAAAAAAAATATTCTGCAACATTGAAACTAAAAACAAAAAAAAAGTACATTAAATTTCTTTTTTGTACATTTTCTCTGTAGATTGTGGGGCCATGTGTGTTACAGTTGTCAAAACTGCGAATTGTCTCAGCACCAAAAGATAACGAGGATTCTCAGGCAGCACCTAAAATCTATCGTCTCTCATTGACTGACGGCCATGTCACCTGTTCTGCAGTTACACTCGAACCAATTCAGGGTCTTGGGTTGGTATTATGATGTATAACTATTCTTCATCATCATCATCATCAGTTTTCACTTTGGCTGTTAAGTGTCATGGGTAGGAATAGTTTGCGATCCACTGTTTGATGGGTAGGTGTGGCAATGGTTATTGTCATGCCATGTTGATGTGGGAGGTCTTTGTTTGTTGTACAGGCCATGTAATGTTGCTTGTTGTACTGTGTTGTACAGGCCATGTAATGTTGTTTGTTGTACAGGCCATGTAATGTTGCTTGTTGTACAGGCCATGTAATGTTGTTTGTTGTACTGTGTTGTACAGGCCATATAATGTTGTTTGTTGTACTGTGTTGTACAGGCCATGTAATGTTGTTTGTTGTACTGTATTGTACAGGCCATGTAATGTTGTTTGTTGTACTGTATTGTACAGGCCATGTAATGTTGTTTGTTGTACTGTATTGTACAGGCCATGTAATGTTGTTTGCTGTATAGACCTTATCACCTGTTCTGCAGTTACATTTGAACCAGTTCAGGGACTTGGGTTGGTATTATGATGTTGTATAGCCATTCATCATCATCATCATCAATTTTCCACTTTAGCTGTTAAATGTCATGGTTAGGAACAGTTTGTGAAAAGTCTATCATGACCAAACCATCATCTTCTGTTCCATTCTCAGTTCCATATAGGGTGACCTCTTGTTAGATCTTTTCCATGTGTCACAGTCTTGTTTGAAATAGTATCATTTCTCACTTTGTCACGGACAGTTGAGTTGGCAGCTGGTGTTAGTTTTATGTACTTTAGCCTTGAATAATATCTCAGTTTGGCTCTGGAAGCACAGTGTTGGTATGAATATGCCTTTTTTAATCTGTTTCTTTGCGGCCCTACTTGAGTTTGGATGTCTTAATAATGGCGTCTTGTTTGTATATAAGTGCACTGGCTCATTGGCATCTTGGTTGAAGTACTGCCTGAGACGCACCATGTTGACTGATAGTTGGCCTCAAACGTGCAGACATCTAAGTCCACTGACTGTCAAAAGTGATGGATACTGGCCACACAGTCAGCAGCAACTGGTGATCCGACAACATGTGGTATTGTGGACTTTGAGGATTCTGTTGAATGTGTTTGAAACATGGACAGTAAGCATTGAAACTAAGAGATGTCTGATTGCAGTGGAAATGTTTCTGACTACCTAGAGATTTTGACTGCAGGATGGCTTTTGTCAGAACTAGTGAAAGAAAGCATCTAGAAGAATTAGTAAAGAAAAAAAAAACAAAACAATGAAGCTTGGCTACAGTGCTTTCCCTGTGGGTTCTGGGCTTTAGTGAAGAAAGGATTGGGGGGGGGGGGGGGGGGGCTTAGACACAGTGTTGCCTAACAAGCATGTGTGTTCAGCTGATTCTCCAGCCATTGTTTTGAAAGGTGACTGAATAAAGAGTTTGCTGTAATTGGATGTGTTAGGCTGAAGGCTACAGTGTTTTTCTTTGGGAGTATTGCCTGTTTAGGTCCCTCTCTCTTCCATGTTGGGATTCTTGTTTATGTTCTAAAACCACAAAAACATTTCTTTAAAAAAAAAAAACCCAGTCTGCTGCGGAAATCAGGCACTGTTACTCAAGGATCAATAAATTGTTGAATGCATTCACTAACCTCTGCCACAGACCCACTGTAATGTGAGAACATTTCTGGTATTTTCTTTCAGCCTCAACACAGCTCCAGGCACCAAGCTGCGTCTGTCTGGGACAGTTGAGGTGGAAACCAACTTCCTTCTCCTCACCAGCAAGAACACCACTCTCCTGGGAGGGCGGGTCAGCGTCCTGGCAGACTCTTGGGAGCTGAAGAAGGTCGACTGATTTTATTGTAGCACAGATTTTCTTTCTGGGTTAGGTCTTTATGGTGGAGAGGGAAGGGGGGGGGGGTGTTGACTATGGGAAGTTTCACAAAGGTGATGTGTGGTGCTAGTGTGGCAGGTGTGGCAGTAGTTTAGTGTTTGTGTCTAATATGCCAGTGGTTTGGTGTATGTGTTTGAAGAGTGGCAGAGGTGTCCACATTTCCTGGAAAGTCTCTGTTTTTTCCTCTTTTGAACTCTTCTCTTTCTCCCCTACTCCCTTCCTCCCTTTCTCTCTCTCTCTCTCTCTCTCTCTCTCTCCTGTCACCATATCTATTCTTATAGTTATATCTCTTCCAGCTTCACTATTCTTTCAGCACTGATACTTAAATAGATTACAAATCCATGCAGCAGTACCGATTTGATGTTTTAGTTTAATATTGTAAGATGGTTGTTTGAAGTATGAACAACAGATCATCATCATGGCACACGGGTAGCAACCCATTAGTACTTCGTTCTACTTCTAACTCAAGTTTGAGTCAGAAATAGCTCAGCTAAGTACATGGCTCCGTAGCACCGGGGAAGATCCTGAAAATATTGTAGGTAGATTTTGAACTCCAAACTTAGTCCGGGCAGCGTCGTTAGGCTACTCTTTTCGATTTTCAATTACCCAGAGACCAGTAAAAATTACCATAAGTCAACGTGAACAGAAAAAATCCCAGCCCTCACCGGGGCCTGAACCGGTGATCTATAGCACTCGAGGCGGACACATATCTCGAGACTACACAGCCCTCCCTGTTGGCTGTTATATTCCCCCAGTATATTGCGTGACACTATCTCTCCAGGGCAGTGTTTTGACACCATCTCTGTCGTGATTTGTTTGACACCAATTTTGCAGTGCATTATTTGACACTGTCTCCCCAGTGCATTAATGGGCACCATCTGTCTGGTGATTTATTTGAAACAATCTCACCAATGCAATATTTGACATCTTCTCCTGGGTGTATTATTTGACACCAACTCCCAGCCACACTGTTTAACACCATCTCCCCTGTGCATTGTGTGACACCATCTCCCCAATAATTTATTTGACACAATCTCCCCAGTGCAGTCTTTGACACTATCTCCTTACTGCACTGTCTGATACTATCTCCACAGTGCATTGTTTGACACCAACTCCCATCTGCTCTTTCTGATACTATCTCCACAGTGCATTGTTTGACACCAACTCCCATCTGCTCTTTCTGACACCATCTCCCACTTGCATTGTTTGACACCATCCCCCCAATGATTTGTTTCACACTATCTTCAAGTACAGTGTCTCACACCTTTTTTCTCAGACATTTCTGAATAATTTCTCTCCAGCGAATTTTTTGATACCATCTGCGCTGACATTTTGTTGAAAACTATCAGATTGCAGATTGTTTGACACCATATATATTCAGTGCAATGTTTGACCTTATCTCTAATAATATTGTCTGATCTTATCCTTGAGTTTCATCATCTAACGCCATTTACTATCATCCAACCCAAAAAATACTGCATTCTATACCTCAAATATTACCCCTTAACCCGCATCAACTATCATCCAATCTTTAAATATTATCCAACTAATCCACATGAATTATTTATTTAACCCAAATCATATCATCATCATCAAGTGCCTTGCTGACTGGCATGGTCGATCATGCCTCCCCGCCATCTGCATCTGCATGTATCAGTTCGTCTGTTGACACCCCTCTATGCCATGTGGAAATGTAACAATACTGAATTTGTTAGTTCTTAAATACTCAAATTCGATGGGAAATGTTTCTTCTGCAGACACTGGCTAAGCAGTCTCAGGCACGAGCCAACCTCCGAGGGGAAGGAGGACCTCCACCATTTGTACCTTTTGGGAAGAAGATCACAAATGAACTGGTTCCCCCGCCCAAAAAAGGTGCAGTGTTTATGATGAATGTTTGTATGAATTAGTCTCAGCATGTTGCTTACGGTATTGTATGGGAAACTATGAAAGACCTGCAGCTGACATGCAAGTTCGTAGAGGCAACCCACCTGATGGTCTGACCTAAGCATACAAAACTGAATGCGAAGAAGAAGAAATCAATATAACTTTAGATATGTTTTTTTAAAAGTCGGATAACTTTAAACATGTCACTTTCTATATCAGATAACTTTCAACATGTCACTTTCTATATCAGATAACTTTAAACATGTCACTTTCTATATCAGATAACTCATGTATGAAGTCAGTTTCTGTTGCTGATAACTTAAATATCTTGCCATGTTTTGTCGCTTTACTTGAAATTTTCACTTTCTAAATCAGATAACTTCAAATCTCTGGGTGGCGGCAAGGAGAAGAAAATCTCTGAGGGAGACAGTGAGTTTGAACAGCAAAGACAGGCAGCTCTAAATGAGGCGCTTCAGGCCAAGGGTTCCAACAGGGGAGGGAAGACATTTGGCGGAGGCAAATTTGTAAGGAAGCCCTTTTATGTTCAGTCAATATATTCATGCTACGAAGGATGGTCAGAAAGTAATGCCTTCTATTTTGTATCTGTATAAAAACTGTATCGGTGTGCAATTTGTAAGTTTAGCACGATTCCTGAAACGCTCTTCTACGCTTTATAACATTACAAACTTGTTTCAGTACCAGGTGGCACCACTTTAATAGTTTAAAAATGGCTTCCAAAGATGTTATATGCAGTAATCTCTTTGTGAGATGCAATTTTTAGTTATTTGAAGCCATACTCTGGTTCTTGCCAGGGTCCGCAATATAGCCCGACCATAAATATGGTCTAATGGCTGAACGCGGTTTTTGGGACCTCTTCGCGGTGATCCTAATCCACATGGTGGCACTTTGTGTCATCGGGTGTTTATCGCTTGTGTGATGTCCTGGTGGGGTAGAAAGTCAGTCAGTTCCAAAGATGTTCGGTTACAACAACGCAATGTCATAGGATTCCTGAATGCTGAAGGCAAGTCTCCCATTTCGTATCCATGCACATTTGAAGAATTTTTATGGAGATTCAATGATGGTACATCGTTGTGACAAAGCTGAAGTAGGTCAATCATCAATAGCTGATGCAAAGCGGACTGGCCGTCCGTCTACGACAGTTACTCCACGCAACATTCGTGTTTGAGGAATCCCGCAAAATTTACAAATTGCACAGTAATACAGTATTTACATAATAAAATAAAAATAGGAAGCACTACTTTTTGACTGTCCCTTGGATCTGCCATTTTCTTTTTCATTCACACAGTGTTGTTTTGGTTGTAATAGCATTGTGCCTGAAATGATATCTACTGCACATAGCTTCTCCAAATAGATAGTATAAGGTCTTTATAATCTTCAGAAAGAACTGACTGTATTTAACCCTGTCGCCTGGTAACGGGGAAAAAAAAATAAGTCATAACTCTGAAGGAATTCCTGAAATAACCTTTAAAAAATTTAGTTTACACAGGCCAATAATAAATTTGGTGATTTACTTATCTCCATTAAAAAAATTTTTGTTTCAAAATGTGTGAAGATATATAAAGAAAGTTAACAGTAAACACACAGTGAAGCATCAAATGGAATACATTTGCTGGGGCATTAAAAAAACACAGAATGTAATAGGTGACTGACACTGTGACCTTTACCACTGAGGCGTACAGGAAAATTTGATGTCAGCTTGGCTTGTAAACACGTTCCTCTGGACAAGTCAGAAAAGTATCATTTACACGGAATTGGACCCAACTGGGCGTGTCGGTTTTTAGGGTGGCAGGGTTAATTTCCTTAAGTTGTAATCTCAAGGGTGATGATGGTGATAATTTTATAACTCTAATCAGAGTGTGACTTCCTTTCACTATCTATATCTTTAACAAAACATGCACACTCACATTGTATGGTTTAAGTTTGTTATAGAGATTTCGCTACGGATAAGTGGATATGTGCATTGCTGATTTGTAACCATTGCCCATTCACATTGTTTGCTGATGAAGTCTTTCTAGCCACAACATTCATTTTGTCTTTTGGTATTATGTTTATAGAGCAGACTGGTTCTTCTTCTCATTTGGATTTATATATTTTCATGATATTAGTTCTAATTATTTTCTTCTTAGTGCTCACAGGCTGTAAACTCTGGTTGTTTGTCCACTCTTGGACTTTGAGCTTGATCCAGGACTTGAGTTTTGCATGCACATTCATTTTATAGAACTGCCTTTTTTTTAAATGCAGACTGTTGGTTCATCAATTCTCTGGCAGATGCACTCGTGACTTTAAAGGAAACTACCCTGATTAGTAAACTTTTATGACATGCTTGTTGGAGACTGGGTCTGTCCTTCTACACCCCACCCCCCACCTTACAGTGGGGTCCCAGATCTCATACTAGAAGTGTTGTTTGTGATTGTGATATCGTGAAGCCAACTAGTGTTTCTTCTTTTTCCATTGTTTCTTGCAGTGACATAAATGCATTATACCTGCTTACAGCGAAGCTGCGATATTTACACCTTTCGGCTGACATATCCAACTTCGGGCATTTGTTATCCGAGTTAGCAAGCATTCCTAGTTATTAGTTTTGTTAAACATTTGTAGGCTCATATCTGTGATGACTTCATCATCCTCTGATGCACAGATGTTTTCCCTAGAGGACTTTGTGCCGGGGCAGCCATGTGCAGCATGGTCGACCCTCAAGGGAACACTGGGGTAGAGCATGGGCATTTCCTGGCATCCAAGGAGGCTCTTATTAATGCAGAGCTTGCTGCTCTGGAACTGGGCTCACTCTAGGAATCGACACACCCTGCACATGACTGCTTAACCTCACATCCATGTACTGAGTCCTTCCACTCATTACAGGCTGCACCCTTTAGGGATCTTCAAGAAGTTGTCTGCAGACCTGAGACTTTAGTCCCGCACACAAATGGGCATCTCTTGACATTATAGTTATAATTGTGGGCATCTGTGGCGTAGGCAGTGCGAACATGCTTCGTAATGCGAGAATGCTGGGTTCGATCCCAGCTGCGGACGGTTTGTCTTGTCGTACATTGATTTCGACAGTGGTACCGAGAGCTGACCAGTAAGCAGTGGCAAACTACTGAACGTAAAATCTGGCATAAAAAACCACAACAGTAAAAAAAATGCTGGGGTTAGTTCTGCAACGTCCTGTAAAGGCCACACAGCTAACCTTTTTTTTTTTTTAAAGTTAAAAATATTATTTAATGTATTTTTGTGGTTACCAGCTGGTCAATGATAAAGATCTGGCAAGGATAATGGAAATGGGTTTCTCCATTGATGAGGCCACGTCAGCCTTAAAATCTTCCAGTGGCAATGTCAATGAGGCAATCAATTCACTGTTGTCCGGAGGCCAGCGGTTTCACAGAGGCACAGAGAGAGGCAGACCAGGTGAGTGTGAGAGAGCAAGAGAGAGACAAAAAAAAGGGAAAACATTTTAGAGAATGAGAGAACGAGGGAGTGTGTGTGGGAAAATGTGTGTGAGTGAGTTAATATGAGCATGTTAGTGGCATGAAGAGAAGAGACTTGGTGAGTGAGGGGGTTTTACAGAGTAAAAGAATCAAGGAGCGTGTATCTAAAAGAGTGAGCAGGTTTTAGAGTAATTGAGAGAATGTGTGAGATTGTATGTGAAAGTGTGTGTGAATGAATGAGTTATAGAGAGAGAGAGTGACAGTATGTCATTGTAGTCTACAGATCAATTATAATCCCCGCGCTCAGCTAATTTTAGTGGGTAGATGATTCATGAAATCGAGGAAATAGATCTCAGAACCCTGGGTACAACTTGATGGAAATAGGGTAAGTAAAAACGTATAGGACCATTTCCACGCCTTCAGGCGTATTGGGCAAATAGGGCCAGACCATATATCTTATAGACCTATCGGTGCTTGGTGAGTGATGTGGTCAGCATCACGCTGATCGCCTTTATTTCCCACAACTTGTACCTGGTACCCAATCAAGGCTGGGTCAACCTGGGAGTCAAGGTCATTAAAAAAAAAAAATGAAGTCCGGCTCCGCTAGGACCCAAACCCACAACCCCCTGATCCTTAGGCGAGCTTCTACCCACTGCACCAAGGCAGCTCTTTGAATAGATAAATACCTACATGACTTGGGTGGGACTAGAAGACTCACAGTGATTTTGGAGTTTGCCTGAAATGGTGAATCATGACTGCCTGTGCTTATTGGCATAACACATGATGATGATATATGGTCAGTAAACAATCAAATACAGTGGCTCCTGAGACTGGAAAAGCAAAAGTTGATTTTAAAAAAAGTTCTAATATTTGATCATATTAAAAGCAATGGGTATGGTTGGTCTCTTACCCTTTCATCCCATGGAATGCTAAAAGGACAAAGGGTCATGTAACTCGCTTAGTGCAACAAAGCCTCGCATATGATATTACAACGTCTAGTTTGAGAATGGAGGTAGAGGCAGTCACTGATGCCTTCCGCTGGCTTGAGAATCAGCTGTAGACATATGCCGTGATTGTAACTGATTCACAGAGCATGTTGAGAAAGGTGGAGACAGGCTGTGCTCCGTGCAGAGTGGCAAGCATTGCTTCAGAGGTCCTGGATAGTTAGCGTATTTTGGATATTTGCTTCAGGTCATGCTGGTGTGTTGGGAAATGAGCAGGCAGATTGACTGGCTGGTTTTGCATTTTTGTTGATGAATTGAGGTATGGCAAGCTAGATTTTGTAGGGGCCTTTTGGGAGTGAGTGAATAGTGGGGAGGCACACACAGATCATTACAGTCTAAGGGGAATTGCGCTGCGAAGGGCTACCAGGTGATCTGGCAGATGCTTTTCTTCTTTAAAAAGAGAAAAACACCTAGTTTACTGAGGCCACTACTAACGTATTGAAAAATGTATTCATCTGTTTTTAATTTGTGTGTGTGTTCAGAATGTATAAAGACATGTAAAGGAAGTAATCAATAAATGCGAACAGAGTGAAGCATTAAATCAAATAAAATCCCTTGGGCCAAAAAAAACAACTATGTAACTGATGACACTTGCTGTGACCCTATGACCTCTGTCACTGAGGCTTACAGGAAATTTGTTACATTACTAGATGTGTATTTATGTGATACATTGTTGAATCTTGCATGTGATACATTGTTAGATGTTGTATGATGTAATCTGTGGCTGTTTCTTCTGTCTGTATCACAATGTGCCCTTGTTTCAGCTTCTGTGTTTTTGAAATTCAAAATATATTTTGTTTCTTGAACATCTCTTTACTAAATAAACATTTCACTAAGCTAACAAGACGTGTCATTAACCAACACACAACAGGCGTCATCAGTCATTTTATACTTATGGAGTTTTTGAGGGGGAGATCGGAGCACCTGTGGATCTGTCTAGAGTGCTATGGTGATAATCCTTGCTAATCACCAATCTCTTTACTAAGCCTGTTGAGTTTTCCCTTATATAAACTGGTTACATTCCAAGCACCTAAGGTTAAATTGTTTGTTTAGCCAGATAGCAGATTTTCAGGAACATTCTTAGACTATTGTGGTCATATACACACACACAAATACTGACATTTTTCATGATCTTAATGTGGATATCGGATATCAAGGACATATAGGCATGACATTTGCATGAAGTGGGACAGTTTAAATTGTCACCATTATTAAGACATCCAAGCATAACCCAAGAAAAAAATAAATCGACTCCAGAATTTCTCAGAAACAAATGGAAAATTAACAAAAAACAAAAATTCTAGACCTTACCAACAGTTCAGTTGATATCACGCTGAACAACAACAGCCTTGAAAAAGTCAACAGTTTCACTTATCTAGGGAGCAAGATGTCATCTACAGGATACCGCACCAGAAAATATCATTTAGAATAGCACTGGCATCTAGTGCCTTCAATAAACTGTCTAACATTGGAAATCAAAGACACTTAGCAAACAAACAAAACTCAAGATCTTCAATTCTTGTGTGATTCCAGTACTAACCTATGGATGCGAGAGCTGGAAATCAACGAAAACTCTAGACACAAAAATTAGACAGTTTTGAAAATAAATGCCTTAGAAAATACTAAATTTCAAATGGTCAGATTTCCGAACCAATACACAAATAAGACAAGAATCCAGGCAAGAGTATGTGTCTAATTTTATACGAAAACGCCGCTGGAACTATGTCGGCCATGCCCTTAGAATGGATAAATCAAGACTTCCTTACCAAGCCCTCATTTGGACACCACAGGGGAAAAGATCTCGTGGAAGACCAAGGGAAACCCTACGTAGAACTATCATCAGGGAAGGCTCGCTCATGGGCCACTCAAACATCCAAGACCTACAACGGATTGCAACGGACCGCCGTGCATGGAGAGTCATGACCTCTGCCCTATGTGCCGCACTCGACACAAGAGGAAAGACTAAAAGCATAACTATGAGTGCAAAGAGACATATTATTAACAGCATATTCATTCCAACATTAAGCTACTAGTGCCAAACATGGACACTATCTAAAGCCCATGTACGCAAAATCACCACCTGCAAGATGAGGTGCTTGGGAAAAGCAGCCAACCTAACCATCCGCGATCTAGTGAATAATGAAACTATCAGGCAAATTGTGGGAGCGACACCTTGTACTAGAGAAACAGCAGATCAAGTGGTTTGGTCATCTCGTTAGAATGCAGCAAGATCAAATACCATCACAAGCACTACATCTCAGAAGATCAGCTACAAGAGCAAGAGGATGGCCACAAAGAATATGGATCGACGGCATTAAAGACACTCTACGCCTTCACAGCATGACAATAGCCAGTGGCAGCCAACGTGCACAGGATCGCAAATTATTCCTCCCCACGGGCAGAAGTAGTTTATGATGATGATGAGGAAAGTTTACAGGGACTAAGGGGCTTTCCAACACGCTGTGCTTATGTTCTACACTTCAACTGCTGCATGGTGATGATATATTATGTGATCTGTTTTACATTGTGTGATATGTTTACGCTGTGTGATATGATTAACCATGTGTGATATGTTTTATCCAGGCGATCTCTTTTGTGCTTTGCGATCTGTTTTACCTTGTGTGATATGTTTTATACAGGTGATCTGTTTTGTGCTGTCTGATATGTTTTGTGCTGTGTGATATGTTTTACCTTGTGTGATATGTTTTATACAGGTGATCTGTTTTGTGCTGTGTGATATGTTTTACCATGTGTGATATGTTTTATACAGGTGATCTGTTTTGTGCTGTGTGATCTGTTTTAGCTTGTGTGATAGGATTTACTTTATCTGGTATGTATTATACTATGTGATATGTTTTGTGCTGTGTGATATGTTTTACCTTGTGTGATATGTTTTATGTTGTTGTAAACTATTTAATGTTGTTCTTCTGTTTGCAGGGATGCGTGGGGGTGGCATGGATGGGCGGAGTGAGGGCAGGAGAGGAAGAAGAGATAGAGATCTGGAATACGACGGGGATGAACTAGTCAGCTCCAGGCCTAGTGGGCCGGCTACGCTGTTTGATTTCCTTGAAACAAAAATACCAACCAAAGATGGTAGCAGTTTTTGTTGTTCTTTCCCCCCCAAGATATTTTCTTTTCAAATAGAAACCTTTAATGCTTTTATCTTCCTCATTTCTTTTTTGTCCATCGTCCTAGACATCGTTAGGCGCCGGCTATTTGTTATTTTGTCTCCTTTTTGGTTCTTCCTAACATGCTACTTTTGTGTGTTTCCTTAAATGTGTCCCCTTTACCACTGTCCCTTTTCTTGTTTACTGTTACCAATCTCTCCTCTTTCTAAGTCTTTGTCCTCACTGTCACTTTACTGTTTACTGTCCCCACTGTCACTTTACTGTCCTTACTTTCACTTTCCTGTTTACTGTTCTCACTGTCACTTTACTGTTTACTGTTCCCACTGTCACTTTACTGTTTACTGTCCCCACTGTCACTTTACTGTTTACTGTTCCCACTGTCACTTTACTGTTTACTGTCCCCACTGTCACTTTACTGTCCTTACTTTCACTTTCCTGTTTACTGTCCCCACTGTCACTTTCCTGTCCTTACTTTCACTTTCCTGCTTACTGTCTTGGCATTGTCCCCTTTCCCTGCTTACTGTCTTCATATTGTCCCCTTTCTTTCTTACTGTTTTCTGCTTACTGTCCTCACTAACACTTTCCTATTTACTGTCCTCATTAGGACTTTCCTATTTACTGTCCTCACTAACACTTTCCTATTTACTGTCCTCATTAGGACTTTCCTATTTACTGTCCTCATTAGGACTTTCCTATTTACTGTCCTCACTAACACTTTCCTATTTACTGTCGTTACTAATAGTGGCCAGTTTTATTTTACTGTCCATTACATTGCTTACCCACTTACTATTGTTTCTTATTGTCTTTTTTTGTTGTTTATGTTTTCTCTAAACACTTCTCTCACTTTCACTTCAATGTTGTCATTACTCACACTGTTTTCTGAACTCAATCAACAGTATTTTCTAAACTCAGAAACACTGTTTTCCACATTCATTAACAAAATTTTTTTATAAACTCACTGGCAATTTCTGAACTCAACTAACACAGTAGTTCACCACTGATCACCTCTCCTCCTCGTCTGCTCCCCCTAGTAACCTCAGCAAAATGTTGAGGGGAAAGATCTTGTATTTTTTCTCTCTAATGCTCTATGCAAGTTGGTCTTCATTTCTCTGTCAGATTGTTCTTGTTTTCTGGTTCTATTTTCAGTTGTTCTGGTCTACCACCATTCTGTATCAGTTATCTCTCTCTCTCTGTTTCTGCTACCTCTGATCTGTTCTAATCGTCATATCTCTCTCTCTCTCTGTTTCTGCTACCTCTGATCTGTTCTAATCGTCATAATTTATCATATAGGTCATGTCATGATTCAAACTTGTTTAAGAGTGAACATATATTTCATGATGTAACATATTTCATAATTTAACATATTTCCTGATTTAAGTGACTAATTTGATAATTTAACACTTTTCCTGATTTAACATATATTTCATCATTTAGCTTTTTTCATAATTTAATACATTTCCTGATGTAACATATGTTCAGTTATTTAGCTTTTTTCATAATTTAACACATTTCCTGATGTAACATATGTTCAGTTATTTAGCTTTTTTTTCATGATTTAACACATTGCCTGATTTAACATATATTTCATCATTTAGCTTTTTTCATGATTTAACACATTGCCTGATTTAACATATATTTCATCATTTAGCTTTTTTCATGATTTAATACGCATGTCATGACTTAAGATACATATCATGATTAATAATGCGACTCTTCCCTCTCACAGATTCTAAAAAACAGAACAAGTTCTCTGCTGTAAAATCACTGCCCGCGCCAACATCATCATCATCCTTCATGTCAAATGATTCATCGTTAAAATTCAACAAAGATCACACAAATGACAGGTTTCAAAAACGTCCTCAGGCATATGATGCTCCTTCATCGGGACCTTCTCAGTACCAGTCCAGCTATAAGGACGGTTCTCTTAATTATCAGGACTCTAGCAGAAGGGGTAGAGGTGAGAATAACTTCAGTTATCGGGATCAGGCTCAACGACAGCAGCAGAATGTCCCCCCTCGGTTTGCAAAATTAGGTCGAGGAGACGGACAGAACACTGGTGGGGGAGTAAGGAGTGAGGAAGGAGGAGGGTACAGAGGAGGAGAAGAGAGATCTAGTGGAAGTAGGGATGGTGGTAGCGAAAGCAGACTTGATAATTACTCAGACCATAAAGCTGCTTCTAAAGAGAACAGCTACAATCATGGACGAAGGTCTCCTATTTTTGTTGGGTCAAACAAAGATGGTAAATCTCAGAGCAGTCCAATATCAGAACCGTCCAGTGAAAAAGGACAGTATCACAATGATCTTAGTAGTGCCACTAAAAGACAGCCTATGAATCCAGCAGGAAACGACAGCCGGAACAGCTATAGAAATAACTATGGAGATGAGTCGGCGAGTCAGACAGGAAGCGATAGTCGCAATAGTTATAGGAATAACTATGGGGGTGAGCCTGTGAATTCGACAGGAAGTGATAGTCGGAACAGCTATAGATATAACTACGAAAATCAGGGGCCGAGGCAGGACAGTGGTAATTACCGGCAGCAGAATTACGGGAACAGCCAGAACAGATATTCTAGTCGAAGTGATAATCGGTACAATCCCCAAGACCCCTTGAGGGGTCAGGTCAACAACAGGTCATACAACCAACAGCCTCCACTTATGCCCACCCCGTATTCTCACCAACCTCCTCAAAACACACAGTATACACCTGTGTCTGGCAAGCAAGGATATGACGATCGGCAGGTGAGAAGTTTTATACTTTTAAAAAAAAATTATGTTTTCTGTAAGGAAGTTTATTTCGTTATCCTCAAATGACTTAGGGTTAATCTTGGATATCCTTGTTTCCTCAGTCCCTCTGTTTTCCCCTTCCGGTGCTTGTTTTCTGATTCTATGTAAAACCATACAGCCAGAATGTGCTTTGGTTGCACCATCCTGTAAAGCAACGAACAAACTAACTTTATTTTTAAATGGTTACAAATTGGGCACGCAGGCCCGTCTGACATTCGGCCCTTCTAAGCACTCATTTTCCGAGTACCAATGCCTATTATCAATAATGCATGTTATGATATAATAAAGAAATATACATTATAGAATAATGCATACACACATCAGGTGTACACAATCATACACACACACACTCACGCTCTTAATTTCTCATTCATGTACACTCATATACAGACATACGTACATACGCGCATCTACATACATAACACACACATACATACATGCACAAACAGAAAACACACACACACATACATATATGGACATACATGCACACACACATACATATATGGACATACATGCACACACACATACATATATGGACATACATGCACACACACATACATATATGGACATACATGCACACACACATTCCATACATACACACCTATACATGCATGCATGCATACACACATATACAATCACATGTACAGACACCAACATACGCCTACAACCACTCACATGAATACATACATCCACATACATGCATACACCCACACACATACATACACACATTTATACATACACTCACATCTTTACACACGTACACACATACCTAAATACACACACAGAGGAGAGATATCTAGCTGTATTATATGTATTGTAATGTGACCAAGTAATTGATTACCCAGATAACAGTTGATGGCAGATAATTTAAAGAGGTTATTTTCACCATTGAAGCTGGTTAGGAAAAGAGATGGGAGACCAAGAAAGATGTTACACAGTTTTGTGTCATGGCATAAAGGAACATCTAGCAAAAGTGACAAGTAGTACACGAGACATCAGTCATAGTTACGATGGTTTGGACATGTATGCAGAATGGGAGAAAATCCGCCATCATGGCAGGCATGGGAGGCTAAGAACCAGAGCGACCCAGGGTGCGCTGGGAAGACAACATCCGACAGTCCCTAACTGACAGAGGACTAGAATGGAACAAAGCCAGAAAGAAAACTGCTGATAGAGACGTCTGGCGATCTCTCTGGCAAACCTCAACACCCCAAGGTAGAAGAGGAGCGACTGAGTAAGTACACGCGACTGAAGGTAGTGGAGGAACTGCTACGTAACATGGGCTAGAAAACGTATTACATTCACAGTGATGAAAGTTCAGCCACGGTGAGTTATTTAGTTGTTTAATTTTGGGCAGAGATCACCTATATTGCACATGGCTGTGTCTGTGGGCTCTGTATTCTCCCATAGAGTAAAGGGTGGGGGGGGGGGGGGGGGGGGGTTCTCAGCACAGCACACAAACTGTTCCCTTTTTTGTTGTCTTTATGAATTTTAGCTTCTGACAAAAGTTAGCTTTTGCATTTTTCTCTGCATGTATGATTCTCATCTGAATGGTGGCACTTTGAGTCACTGTGTGTTAATCACTTGTTGTGTGGTCCTGACGGAAATGAGCATGAATCAGTCATATGGCAGTTGTTTACAGTCACGGTGTTTGGTGACACCTGGTGACAATGCTGATGGTAGTAACAAGGAAATAAAAGATACTGTTCCGAAGCTATCGGGTTTGAATCCACACAGGGCAGATCTTATTTTTTTTTTCAGTGGTGTCAGATTGATCCAGCCTAAAATGGATGCTAGGTAATTGCCTTGGTAGTAAAAATGGCCAGTATAATGTTGACTAAATCACTTATCAAGAGTCGATTGGTCTAGAAAACAGAGTCTAGCATCATATGCTTGGTGTGCTACAGGCGTGCAAAGTGCCGTTTACTTTTGTTGTTATTGAAAGGTCATAGTAGTGCCCATATTTACATCATCTTTCATTTCCTTTTGTGCTGTCAACAGTTCAGTATAGAAGGCAGTGTTCTGCTAAATGTGGGAGATAATTGCTTGGCCAGGTACTGGGAGGATAAGGAGGTGAGTTTATATGTGAATGAATTATTGAGTGAATCACAAATTGACATCAGTATACTTGGAACATTCTCACCCATGCTCAGTAGCCAATGAAGAGCCAGCATGCTAATAGTACCAGTTGCAACATGATGAACGTATCCAGAAACCATGAGTTGTAAACCCTTTGGCTCGGTACTATGGATATCGCCACCCTTCGGCATTGATTCCATTATAGTGTTAATCTGAAGAAATCTTCTGGAGCCGGGCTTCTTGTTTCTCCCTCTGTTGAATTAGTCTTGCAGTGTATGGATTCTTTGTCTGTTCTTTACACTGTCCCTTTGATCCCAATGAGCATTCACCACTTTTGCTGAATCATAAAGCAGCTCACCACCCTGAGGGTGTGTTATGTGTTTATGAGAAAGGCATGCTGAATTCTGAGTTGCAAGCATCACTTCAGAGGTCCTCAATAGTTATTATCCTTTGGATATTTTCTCCAGGGCAAGCGTGTTGGGATATGAACAGATAGATTGGATGCTTGACAAACTAGATGTGGTCAGGGCCCTTATGAAGCAAGTGTGGAAAGAATGGTGTGGCGGAAAGTGATCCTGATGATCTGGCTGACATCTACACTCAGAAATAAGGCAAGACGGACATATAATCACAACTGGAACTCTTTGCTGGCTTCTGAAGATCATACGGGATTGTCTCAAGTGCTGTTGGTTCTTGACTCAACTTAGCTGAACTGTCATCATTTTTAACTTTCTTGAGGCCTCAGAGATATGGTTATACATAAAAATGCTGGGCTCTCCATTGAACTTTTACCCCATATTATGATAGCCAAACAAATATCTTAGTCATGTGCAAAATTCGGAGTTTCCTGTCGAGGAACAAATGACGGCAAAACTAGGATTGACTCCAAATAACAAAACAAATGCTCTAACAGTGTTTCAGTGATATGTTAATCGCGGACCTGTTTCTGCGACTATGCCGCACCACCGACAGTATCCCCTGGGCCTCAACGCGCGGCGCGGGGGGGGGGGGTAAAAATAGATGGCTGGGACTTAACGAGCAGCAGCTGCCACATCTCCTGCAACTTCCTCCAGTGAATTTTCTCGTGAGTCCCAGGCATCTAGTTTAGATCTCCATCCGCTGCGCAGGGGATACGCTCGGTGCTGAAGAACACTATCGCTAAACTGCGTTGGAGCACGTGGTCTCCCTGCCATGTGGCTCTTATCGTCTGTAATGTTGCATGTCTCAAAATTGTCAATGGTCGCTAGTATCATCTGCAGAAATGCTTGAAATTGTCAACGGTCGCTATTATAGTCTGCTACTATCATCTGCAGTGTTGCGTGTCGTGACATTGTCAAGTAATCCTAGTTTTGCCGCGATGTTTTTATCGGAGGAACTCTGCATTTTGCATAGGACTGAGGTCCTGTTAGGGTATTTGTTTGGCTGCCATAATATGGGGTAGAGGTTTGAAGGAGAGCCAAATGCTGAAACTTCCTTTTTTTTTTCTTCCTCCATTTAAATCATTTAGGTGTTAGGGGATGAAGATTGCGTGTCGCTGAGGATGTCAAATATCTTCTGGAGTTCTTTTGCTTTCTGTTAATGTGTTATAATATGGGGTAGAGGTTTGAAGGAGAGCCAAATGCTGAAACTTCCTTTTTTTTCTTCTCTTCCTCTATTTAAATCATTTAGGTGTTAGGGGATGAAGATGCGGGCTGAGGATGTCAAGATCTTCTGTGTTCTCTTTCTAATGTGTTAGATAAATTGATCTCCATGTCTTTGAGGCTGTTAGAAGGTGTCATTGTCTCATATTTTGCATGGCTTTCCCCTTGCTCTGTGTTCATTAGTGGTTCTGCACCGTGACTTTCTATGGCAGTTGATATTGGGGCATTCTCCTTACATAGCCAGACTTGATATCTTTTGATTTTTAATCCTTTCACCCAGAAACCCTTAGTGGTTCACAGAAATTCATTTAAAAAACAAAAACATTTTTCACAAGTCGCTAATAAATTTTACAAATATGTCTCGATTTACCTTTTAAATTTTTTGTTGGATGTATATGAACGAGAATAAGCAAAAACATTTACAGGGTAGAGAATAAAATGAATTTCACTCTCTTGGGCTTGAAAAATATGTAACTCATACCTGTGGCCTCATCAAGTGCAATGACACAAGGTCAAGAGGTCAAATCAAGAATGAAGAAATTAAAAGAAGACTAGGGCTGAAACCAGTCATACAATTCATTAAAGAACAATTAATGAGATGGTTTGGCCACCTGACGAGAATGCCCTGGTACCAGCTGCCACAGAGAGCCACGCTGAAGAAATATAATGAAAGCAGCGCAAGGGGAAGACCACACAAGAGATGGAGCGACAACATCATGAGCAACCTAACTGAAATGAACACCAACTTGTACAATGCATTAAAAAAAGTTCACAAACGATCCTTACATCTCCCCCCAAACTCCTCGATGAGGTAAATGGTGGAAAAGAAGAAGAAGTTTACTTTCCACCCACTTATTTATTGTCATGTTGTCTACTTTCAAACTACTGGACGTAAATTTGCCTAGAAAACACACTGTTGGGGTCGGTTCTGCAACGTCCTGTAAAGGATACGCAACTAACCTAGTGTCTACTTCCACAGTTCTACCCAGCAATTGTAGAAGCTGTAGGCTCTGATGGCAGCACGGCTGTGGTCCGTTTTATTGACTACGGCAACTGTGAGGAGGTGCTGATAGAGGACATTCAGCAACTACATCAGCAGACTGGCTGGGTATGTGTACTAGACGCATGTCTCTGCTGCTGCATGTTTGTTTACTGATATGAAAATATTCAGTGTTGTATAATTGTTGTCAACATTTGTAAAACCTGTGTAAATAAAAAATATATAGATATATATAAATTTAACATGTATATAAAAAAAACTCCTGTGGAAAGTTTTGGTTGTTCGTCCATTTCTGGACTTTGGTGCTGTTCCAGAACCTTTTAGTGCTCATCCGTTTCACAGATCTGGCATCTTGTTGTTGTATGTTGCATGCATAGAGGTTGGTTCTGTGAAGCTCCTTGCATTGTCCTCAGGCCAATGCATAAAATCTGACTTTGAAGGAAATGCACTAGGTTCTGTCCAAGACTGTACTAGACATGATTGGGAGGTGGATCTCTGGGGGGGGGGGGGGGAAGAGATGAAATGAAAAAGTGTTGAAAGCAGTTGATCCGGCCACATCTCTTCTTTTATCTCATGAAACTCGCATGGGGAGCATTTAGTTGTTTTCCTGGTGTGGGTTTCAGGGAAAAAGAAGCACGTATGAGTGCAACCAATTAGAGGTTTATTCTGTGAAGCTGGATTGCATTTGCCTGAGAGGCAAGGAACCAAGTCTGCATACAAATAAGACATATTTTTAAAATGGATGTGCCTGATGACACAGGTTCTGGAACAAGACAAAAAATGACCAGAATTTTCTGCCATTGAATGCTAAGAAGAATTTGAGTCTCTGGAGATGTAGATATACTAAATAGGTCATATTTTATAGAGACGAAAACAAATACTGTGGTTCTGAAGAGATGAAATGAAAAGTTGTTGAAAGCAAAAGAAGGACATTTCGGCCACATTTAAAGACAACTCTTTTATCATACGTAAGGGAAAAGTTGAGTGTAACCAAACAAGTGGTACACAGTGATACTGTGGGAGGATAACAAGATATACACGGACGGCAGTGTTAGGGAGTCTACAGATAAGATGATGTTAGGGAGTCTACAAATAAGATGATGTTAGGTGGTCTACAGATAAGATGATGTTAGGTAGTCTACAGATAAGATGATGTTAGGTAGTCTACAGATAAGATGATGTTAGGTAGTCTACAGATAAGATGATGTTAGGGAGTCTACAGATAAGATGATGTTAGGTAGTCTACAGATAAGATGATGTTAGGTAGTCTACAGATAAGAGATGTTAGGGATGATAAGATGATGTTAGGTAGTCTACAGATAAGATGATGTTAGGTAGTCTACAGATAAGATGATGTTAGGGAGTCTACAGATAAGATGATGTTAGGGAGTCTACAGATAAGATGATGTTAGGGAGTCTACAGATAAGATGATGTTAGGTAGTCTACAGATAAGAGGACAGGGATCTACAGATAAGATAATGCTAGGGAGTCTACAGATAAGATGATGTTAGGGAGTCTACAAATAAGATGATGTTAGGTAGTCTACAGATAAGATGAGAGACAGTTTGTCCATTGCTGCAAATCTTCATTTTGGAGACGGATGCATGATTGAGTGATTAGGGGCTGAGATGATCTTAGGTCGTTGGTTCTCAACCTTCGCAACTATACATTTATTTTCGTTGTTACCTCACAACTTCAATGAATATGTGTTTTCCAATAGTCTTAGGCGACCCCTGTGAAAGGGTCATTTGACCCAAAAAGGGTCGTGACCCACAGGTTGAAAACCGCTGCCTTAAGTTGTAAGTGTAACTAGTGATGTGAATAGTAGGTGATGTTGTGAGTAGATTGATGTGTGCAGTAGTATCATCAGTGTGAATAGTAGGTGCATTTATGAGTAGCATTGATGTGAGTAATATATGTAATTGTGAATAGTAGGTGTAGTTGTGAAAAGCATTACTGATGCGAATTAGTAGGTGCAGTTGTAAAAAGTGTAATTGTGAGTAGCATTGATTTAAATAATAGGTGTAACTGTGAGTAGCATTGATGGGAATTACGAGGGGAAGTCAATAAGTAAGTCACAAATAGTTGTTTTAAAAAAAAACTGATAACAACTTGAAAACAGTTTTTACACAAACACTGTCTCTTTACTTTGTACCATAATTTCCACCAACATTGATGTACTTGTCCAATCATTTTGTCAGTTCTCCCAAACCTGCTGCATAGAACTGCGTGCTCTGTTTTCTAAACCACATTTTCAATTGACATTCAACTTCTGCGTCATTCGCGAAATGTCTCCCGCTAGAGTGGGTCCTTGGGAAATTGTTTTTACCCAGCTATGTTTACGGGATAAACATTTGTCAGCATAAACAGGAAGCATTTCCTTATAAATGTCCTTTTCAGGCAGCCATTTTGAAAAGAAAAAAAAACGCACTACAGCATGTTCTTTGAGGGTACCGTCTGTAAGTACAGTCGCAGTTTTATTTCTGTAGTGCATGCGCGAGTAATACCTAACCAATGGAGACAGCGTTTTTTAAGTTAGGGGAACCAGATTTAAAAGACATGCAGCAGTTATTTTTACATTATAATTTATGATAAGGTTTTTTTTTAAACATCTGTCATTAAAAAATATATTGTATATTCCTAGGCTTATCAAGTGCCAGCTCCCATGTATGGTGTGAACAATATCAACAGCTCTCAACAGAAATCCACCAGCCTTCCACGCAGCACCATCTTTTGTGCCACCCATGGAGTTCACACGAAGCAGCTCTTATTATAACAATAACTACAACAATGGCGCCGCTGGCAGACGGCCAGACAACAGGGACAGACGTAGGCCACCACAAGCGCAGTATATGCCACCCAATCAAAGACCCTAGAGATGTCAAGTTTATTTATTGTAGAGCTTTAGTTTTGTTTTTTTAATTATCAGTGCTTCCTTCTATCCTTAAAAAAAATTATTCGCTTTCCCTCTCAAGAGAAATAGGCCAACAACTTACCCAAGTATGTGCATCTCAACTGTTTGTATACTTCATGACCCCCAACTTCTCTATATTTCTAGCTAAATTAATCAGGTTTTCTCATTATCTATTAGTCCTGGAGGGAACGGGGGTCAACACAGCGCTAGGGTCACAACGGGTGTTTGTTAATTTTGCTAGGCCTCCAAGGACAGACCGAAGCCATTGACCAGGAGGTAAATATGGCTGGTGTTTAGAATAGAATGTTTCAGCTGTCTTTGAATATTCTGTCTCTTAAGCTGAGCAAACAGTTAAAATAACACTTCATTTGTGCAGCCCAGTATTATGGTTTCCTGTCTTGTGCTTTCTGGAAGTCTTATCTGTTGTTGTTGCAGAATTTCCTTAGTCTGTATGGCCAGGCTGTTTCATTCTGTCTTTCGTTGCAGTTAAGGCATGATTTGTGACCTGGTTTTGTATCACCTTTCTCGTTCTGTTTACCTGTGAGACGTTTACAGGAAAATATTTTTTGTGTTCTGTTTCTGTGACCTGCTCATTTATTGTCCATGTTTGGCACTGACAGCACAAAGTGGGCAGGACGATGCTGTTTGTATCGTTTGCTGGAAGGGGGGAACTGAGTGGCTTTCAGTGAGTGGGGGAGGGGGAAACTGAGTGGCTTTCGATGAGTTGGGGTGAGGGGGGAGAGTTAGGGTGGCAGCCCAGTATATTGAGTTGCCTGGAACTGTGTGGGTTAACAGTTTTCTTGAAGTGTAATGCAGTTTTTGCCTTTGCTATTTGTACATTCATTACCTTTAATGTTGACCTATAATCATATAGATTGTAGATATAGGCATACCTGTGAGTTACAGAATTCATAAATTATATTGTTTAAATGTGCAGGTTCACTGTAGCAAAATGTGTTTAAAATAAAGTATAGTAGGGGTAGAAAAGTGTGTGGGTGTGAGCCCAAGGCTGCATGGCTAGTGGGGTGTGGTGGGTGTGTGCCTAAGGCTGCATGGCTAGTGGGGTGGGTGGGTGTGAGCCTAAGGCTGCATGGCTAGTGGGGTGGGTGGGTGTGAGCCTAAGGCTGCATGGCTAGTGGGGTGGGTGGGTGTGAGTCTAAGGCTGCATGGCTAGTGGGGTGGGTGGGTGTGAGCCCAAGGCTGCATGGCTAGTGGGGTGGGTGGGTGTGAGCCTAAGGCTGCATGGCTAGTGCATGTGCCACAAACTGCAGACAGGTAAAGTTTATTTTTACCTGTTTGTAAAAATTATCAGATGTTTCTCATGCTGTTCATTTGCACTGGGTGATGTGGCCAGCTTTCATTACTCATGTCAGGTAGAAAGTTGTGCATCAAAAGTATGTTATCTGTGCACTGGACAATACATGTCAGATAGAAAGTTGTTTATCAGCATCTCTAAAGTGTGTTATCTGTGCACTGGACAATACATGTAAGATAGAGTGTTGTGCATCAAAAGTATGTTATCTGTGCACTGGACAATACATGTCAGATAGAAAGTTGTGCATCAGCATCTCTAAAATCTGTGCACCGGACAATGCAGACCTAGGCGTTCATGTTTTTGTTTTATATAAACAACCCAGTCTCTCTAGTCTGTAATATAAACATACAGATGTGTGACAGCGAATGCAAATGTTTGGTAATCTCCTCTGTTGGACATACACGTACTGTCAGTCTAGGGTCACAAGCTTACAGCATTGTTAAGGTACCTTTTATCTCTGTGGTAAAGTGGTTGAGCAACAGTAAATCTTAACCAACTTGTGGGAAAGTGTGCCCTGTGCTCTGAAAGTCTAGGGGTTCAGTAACACTCTTTAATAAAGAGCTCAGCGAGATGTGTGAGCAGTCATTTTTATCCTCCCCATTCATGTTTATCAATAACTCCCCTTTTTTTTGGTATGCAATTAAATACCTTTTGGTCCATAAACGGAATAATGATTTCTTTTTGTTTGTGTGTGCCCTGTGGAAAAATTATTAAACATTTTTTAGATAAAGGAATATCTTTTTAGCAATGATTGAAATTCCCAAAAATATGGGTCTTTGGCATTTTTTCTAGGTCACCGGGGGGAGATATGGTCCTGCTAATAGTGTTATTTCCTTTGGTTTAATTAACGTCTTAAAAAAGGATTAGAGTATTGAATTCTATGTTGCCCTTGAAAGGGCACAATGAGTTGTGGTTCATGGCTAGGCCTGTACCTTTTAACTCTGCACCCACTAACCTCTGCCAGCAAAGACTGTGATCTGGCCCAAGAGAGCCACATTGCAAGAGAAGCTATGGGGAGTCAGTGGCGACCTTAAACGCACAATCCTATTTGTGACCCAGACGTAACTCAATGTTTAGTATGACTGATGTCGAACGCAGAAGAACAACTCTGCACAGCCCATTCCCCCCCCCTTTCCAGTTAGTCACCTTTTACAACAAGCTTGTTGGAAGGGGGATGGATCTGTGTATTCTTTTATCCCCTCAAAGTGGGAAAGAATTAAAATGAAATGTAAATAATAGTATGTACATAGCCTTCTAGTGCCTTAGGAAGTTTGTGGTTTCACCTCTTGTCATGTTTTTTTCTCTCCACCATTGTGTTTTTTTTCTTTCGGGGTAATTTGGCAGGCCTCCTTTTTATTTTCTGGTCCTCATTTGTAGTCCTATGGTGTCATTGGGATGTTGAATGTTTAGTTAAATAAAGTCTTGTTCCTAGTGTTGACCAGCTGTCAACACCAGTGGAATCCACTTCTGGACTTTGAGTTTTGCATGCACAACCATTTACTAGATCTGTATTATTTGAATGCAGACTTGGTTGCTCAGCTGTCAGTGCTGCAACTTTAAAGGAAACACCGCTGATTAGTTGACTTTTAGAAGTACTTGCTGAGAAGGGATGGGGGGGGGGGGATTTTTCTCCCAAAATGGCGTCAGAACCCACACTGGGAAAACATACAAGACGACCGACATCATTGCATTCCAAATAGCTGTCTTTCTCCAGAAAATGGCTAGCCATCTGCTGAGAGCATCACACAAAGTATGAACTCTGTAGCCCTGGCAACCACCCCCCAGGGGTCTCTGTAAAAACTGCACTTGTGAACGAGACTAGGCGTCCCATGAAATGGACCTATAACCTCCAGAGGTTTCTTGAGCACTTTGTCGCAGAGACCATCAGTGGACATATCAGGCCCTAGACATAGATTTTTATACATAAGTGCTTGATGGGTAATGTGGTCAGCATCATGCCGGCCCCTTTACTTCCCAGCTTACATGGTGCCCATCTTTGGCTTGGTTGACCTGGAAGTGAGGGGGGCTGGCTGAATGGTTAAAACACTAGGCCTTCATGTGGGAGACCCAGGTTTAAGCCCTCGGTAAGGTGCATAATTTTTTCTGTCGGTGACCAAAAAAAATCCCAGCCTGCAGTCCGTGTCGATAGCAAGAGACATGCAGCCCTCTATCATCAGGCTATATCCTGCCTACACCACAAGAGTGGTAAATGCAGCACTCTATCATCAGGCTATATCCTGCCTACACCACAAGAGTGGTAAATGCAGCACTCTATCATCAGGCTATATCCTGCCTACACCACAAGAGTGGTAAATGCAGCACTCTATCATCAGGCTATATCCTGCCTACACCACAAGAGTGGTAAATGCAGCACTCTATCATCAGGCTATATCCTGCCTACACCACAAGAGTGGTAAATGCAGCACTCTATCATCAGGCTATATCCTGCCTACACCACAAGAGTGGTAAATGCCGCACTAGTGGATTGGCATACAAAGGTGGAATAATGGCGCTAGCTAAAAGATAAACCTATTTGCTACAATGTCACAAAGTTTCATCTTATTTTAACCACTGATTTGCATGAAACTAATATTTTTGTATATCATGGTGTTTTTTTTTGGGGGGGGGGGGGGCGTTTTAAGCCCAGGAGCTCAGGTATGGGGGAGGGGTGCAGTTAGCTTCATGGCCTTCGGTCTGGTAGAGTTAAAGAAGAAACCTTTGATCATGTCACGAGAAGGAGAACACCGGAGTACAGGGTGATGGTGGGAAAGCTGGAGGGAAAAAGAGGCAGAGAGAGCCAGAGAAGAGGCTGGCCAGTTTGACATCACGGCATAGAAGATGATCTGTATCGAAAATAACTGAAAGTACACCAGACAGAAGGTTGTGGATACATGTGATTACCAACCTTACATGGCAGAAGAAGCTCAACACTGTCCTTAAAGAAGTGGATGTTTTTATGTCTGTTGATCCATCTCATTAATTGCCAGGCCTTGAAGTAAAAATAATCTTCAGAAATTACCCAGGGGTTTTCTTAGCTTTTTTTTTTTTTTTATACACAGAGTTTATTTCAAGTAAAAGATTGTTTGGGAGCCGCCGAGGTGTAAGGACTAGATGCACGCTTGTGGATCAGAAGGTCATTGGTTTGGGTTGTGACGAAGTCTGACCTTTTTCAGAGCCAGTCAACCCACCAAAAGGTCAGATTTCAGTCTCTAAACTGTTAAACTATCGGCCATCTCTGCACGGAAGGTTGGCTTTAGTGCACCCACTGCAGTCTTTGAGAATATTAAATGCCAAGGCTCCAAGCTCTCACATGGTGCAACTCTCATACCACACTGTCTGAATGCCACGAGAATAATGAACATTAGTTTTCAACTTTATGTCTGAAATAAACCCTTAGCCTGGTCTTCATTTATTTTTTTTTGATTAACATTTTTATTACTGATAGCACCTGTACATGTAATTTTAATACTTATTGTTACAGTAATGTAAATTCAACAGTAATTGTCACTGTACATGTCATTTTAACAGTAATTGTTACTGTGATGTCCTTTAAACAGTAGCTGTACTGTACATAATATGCAGACCTCATTAGGAACCCAAGAATTGGTTCTTCTTTTCAGAAATTCTTCTGAGCCAGAGTTCCAGCA